TTAATTTCGAACTGAAAATTTTATTTCGTCCACCACAAAAATAAAATAATTGTGGAATTTTAAAGAATAATTTAGAAATGTTTATTTTTCATAAAAACTTGGCAAGAATATATTTTAGTCTTACCCACCCACTTATATAATTTTATGGAATTTCGAGAAATTAATGTTTGAACCGCTTAATGTTTATATTAGCCATACGCAGAAGATCTTGGAAAATATAAGTCATTCTTTTTGTAAAACTGGACACCCAGTTGCCGAAAATATTTTCTGAATCGTAAAATAAAAATGTCATAAAAGACAGTATTTTATTAGAAAATCTTTTAATTCCTTTTATGAGTAAGTCATATCATGGACATTATTTTCTTTAAAAAAAATTGATGAGTAATGAATTTTTGCACGAATTCCTATCATTGTTTAAAATTTTAATTAGAATAATTCATCACATGTTAAATCTTTTAAAATTCTATATTAATTTGTAGCGGTTAGGTATTATTATTATTATTAACTAAAAACTATATTGCATAATCATAAAGCTTACTACATTCAGGGAACACCAATATTTTAAAATTAATTTTGATTTGTTTTGTGTGTATATAAACGTGATGAGTTTTATAAATACGGACGTCCATACACGAAATTATCAGTAAATAAGAGCGATACATATAATGAAATTAAAGTCAACTTGCCTAAAAATCAATAAAACATTAAATATTTTCTTAAATTTTAAAGATTACTGGGTAGTTAAAAATTATATAAAAAAGGCGCTCACGTTATATTCGTATATGTACCCCGTAGAAAAAAATAGTTTAATTCCCGTCCGTCAGTCTGGCAATAGAGAAAAAAAAATATATATAAATATATTTACCTCTCTGTTAAAAATGCCTGTTAAAGTAAGTAAGGTTTTTGTTTCAAATCAGATTAATTAAACTTGAAATTAGCTAATATTCATTAAATAAATTTTCAGAAAAGTATATTTTAAATATGTTTTTTAATAAAGAGAATTACATTGTGCTGGCAGATGGCTAAACATGGGTAAAATATACGATTTTAGCGATTTAAAAAAAAACACTTACCAGTCACTTTAATTAGTTTTGAAATACAGCAAAGTATATTGTTCATTGAAAATATTACATTTCCTTTATTAGCTTGCAATTAAAACTAAAATAAAAGCTTCAACAAAGATTTTTTTTTTAATTTCTAAAAAATAATTTTAATCCCTAAGTAATATTTTTCTTTAGAGTTACGTACTTATATCGTTATGGGAATTCATGTTTGTAATTAAGAAGGTCAGCGTTCTTGTCATTGGTTTATTTATGTTAGGATGGGTTAAGTATTTTATTATAAGAATTCTATTATGGAATCTTGTTCAGATGTCAATTTTTTGGTTTCGGTTTCATCGCTGTTATTTCTAATGTGAAAATTTCTTTATAGTTATAGTTTTTTTTTTGTCTGTTTTGACATTTAACATGTAATATTTATAAAACGCTCATAACTCTGTTGATGTGGATATAGATTGTCCCGATGTAGCTATAGAATGTGGATTGTGTTACATATGCGTGGAGTAATTTTCCTCTCTAAGTTTGACATCAGGGATTGACATGTGTTTGTAAATACAGTCACAAATTGCACTGGTATTTTTGTCGAATAGAACATTAGTGAAGAGGTTTATAACATCGACTGAAGCGAAGAACATGTGTGTTTGATTTCACTCGAAGATGTGAGCTATAATTGTTGTGTATGCATAGAGAAATTATATCATTGAGTGTTTTTTTTATAAGTGATATACAGCGGTATGCATTTGCGATATGATATTTTTAGGGGAAAACTAGGTTTATGGCATTTACACACCCTTAAATGTTTCCTGTTTGGTCTTCGATATGCGATTTGCAGAACTGCGAAAAATATTACAAGTATACATCTGTTCTAATAATTACTTTTAGTATTATAACCAATTTCGAATTAAGTCTTGACCCTGTGTAAGTGGGTACTTCAGCTAAGCTATTAATAATTTATAAAAATACGATGTCTTTGTCCCGAGATTAGATTCCCGAAGAAATAATTCCTAATCACAGTCGATAATTTACAACTTTGGTTCACAGATATTTCTCGGTCTGTTTTTTTTTTTTTTTTTTTCATGAAAACATATTTTACACTAGTGAGAGACATATTTGTATTCCTACAGTTGTTTTTTTTTTTTAATAATCATAACCTTATATATCATTAATGTATTATAATGATTTATTTTTCTCCTCTTTTTGACATTTTGGAAGTCGCCCATTTGCTGAAAGAATGCTTTCCCGTTATTCCATTTGTTGAGAGATATAATCATTTTACGATGACTGTACAACGTTCAGATCGGTGTAGATATTTGAACCGGGGTTTCTAACTTCGTTTTTCAAAGAAAGCAATGAAAAACGTCCAAGATCCCTGGCCATATTTTCGCATCTGACATCTTGATCACGAATCGAGCGCGTATGTCGCTTAAACTCACAACGTCAGAACCGGTTGAAATATTTATTAACCAATAAACATTCAGATTTTATAGGCCCATTAATATTATTACTTTTTTTATAAATTTAACTTTCATAGTGTATTTTCTATAAAAAAAATTGTTTTTATTTTTCCTCCTAGTCTGTATGATATGCTTTGTGTTCCGTTTCTTCTCTTTTTGCGTAAAATAAAAAAAAAATGGTTAATTTTAAGTAATACGTTGATATTAATATATAATTTCATTTAAATTCTCTCTTTATGTATACCAAATATATCTAGTTACTACAATGTATGATCTAAAATAAGTTCATACGTCTACAATCTGCTTACAGTGTTAATTCGAAGAATGTTTCAGTTAAGTTCACTACATTGATTCTGGCTCGTAGCACCAAAATGCTGATACTAATTATCGCGTCAAATCATATATATTTCCTTATATAGAAACCTACTTTTTAATATAGAATATTAGGACCCAAAGAAAAAAATAACATTATCGCTATACAATTCTGTTTAATTTTAAAAATAGTCTTTAATAACAATGAAATTATTCTATGATCTTGCTTTTTCAAAATGGTCATATTTTTTTTCAACTTTATTTGTGTTTTATTCGAAATTTTTCCATATTAAATTTTGTAAAAACACTTTACTTAACGAATTTTGTGTTATTCGTAGTTAACGCCATATATATTCTAATTCACTTATTTTTTTTCGGAGTATAATAATTTATTTCTAAAGAAAGAGAATCTGGTCAAGAAGGAGCATGTTTTTCCATTCGACTTTTTTTTTGTAACAGATGATTATATGAGGAAACATCGTACTGGTTTTATAATAAAAATAAACATTTTGCTTGAGAGACGAATAAGAAAAGGTGATTGACTTTTTATTATGAAAGCAAAAATGCAAAAGCAGCAAAGAGTTAAATAATAATAATAATAATGATGATGATGTTGATGATGATAATAATAAAAAGAATAATAATAAGAAGACGAATAATAATAATAATAATAATAATAAGAAGAAGAAGAAGAAGAAGAAGAAGAAGTGATATCTGGTACAAACAGTTAAATAAGAAATCTTAGAAAATGGAGCCTATCTTTATTGGAGCTTTGGGAACAGTACCGAAAAATATAAGAACAAAACAAGAGGATTTCCATATTCACAACGTTTCGGCCGTGGTACGCTCCGGCCTTCTTCAGTTGATTGGAATTTCGAACTGAACCCTTTATTTCGTCCACCGGGGTAGATTGTTCGAGTTCCACGTGACATGTCTCAAGGACATGGCCCAGTAGATAAAAGCGTTGGTTAAATCCCTTGACTAAACCCAAAGCGTCGTGAGTTCAATACCAGACTACAGCAGTGGAGTGCCAAAAAAAAAAAAAAACTTGGAGTTAAAGGGAAATAATTGAGACATCCGAAAGAGGCGTGGCACGTGGAACAAGAACAATCGACGCCAGTGGATGAAATGAAGGATACGGTTCGAAATTCCAATTACCTGTAGAAGGCCGGAGCTTACAACGGCCGAAACGTTACGAATATGGCAAGAAAGATGAGGATAACAGTCCGAATAATGTAAACAATTTAAATTAAACTGTAGGAAATGAAAATTAAGAAGATTAGTTAATTTTTGATCTAAGCTTAATTCTGGCACAAAAGGTGTTAGGTGTACGAAGTGAGAATCGAACTCAATACATAGTAGTAATTATTAACTTCGCTCGAAATTAGACTGTTCGAATTAAGGGTGAAAATGATAACCATTCAGAAACCTGTATGATTGTATAAAGCTACAAATGGAAAGAAAAAAAAACATTCAAACACTTAATATCAAATACAAATCAATAGTGACAACAGGTGTGATCAATCAGTTAACCAATCAAACAATCAATCAATAATAATAATATGGCTTCATATCTTAATTGAAGATGTTAATATGATCGTTTTGTCTTGGTAAATTAAGATGGACTCCACTAAATATCATTTTCAATTGGAGAGATTTTCTCGTATATGTTCCTATAATTTTATCACAATTTCAATTTTTTGCGTGACACTCCGTCACACATTATTATTATTATTATTATTATTATTATTATTATTATTATTATTATTATTATTTCCTTTGATTTATGTTGTATACTCATTTCCAACCGTGTCCCATCCAGAGACCTAAGGACAGAAGAATTTTTTTTCCATCATGCATTTTAAAAAAAAAAAAAAAAAAAAAAAAGTCTATCGGAATATTTTCCAGTCGAGGGCTCCAAATGCAACTGGATTATTATTATTATTAGTAGTAGTAGTAGTAGTAGAGGTAGTAGTAGTAAATTTACTACTACGACCACCACTACTACTAATTGTTTAACTGATTGATCACTATCCGTTTCCGAGGATGCGAGTCTACTAGGGCGGCTAGCTAATCCCCATTGTAGATTCCTGCTCAGGCACATTTGTGTTTGTTCAACACCCACAGATCCCACCCATCGCTTCTATTACAACTATACTGAGCGGAACTTAGTTAC